AATAAATAAATTGAAATTGACTTTATACAAGATATTTTAACATATTTCACTACTAAATTATTTACAAAATTATTTACATCTTAAAAAGTGCTGTAATGAGAAAATAATGACTGGATAATGGCGGACGGTGATTAAACCCTGAAGCATGAAAAACTCAAATGTTCCCAACAAATTTTACACTGAACATGCCATGTAAGCATAACTTACAATCACGAACGAAATACGTCTGAAAATTTATAACTTACAATTGTATTACGATGAAGTATCAATAAGCAGCACGCCAATCTCATATATACCTGAGCTCTACACAACTCATTCAGGGAACCTCTGCACCTTCATATTCCAAAAGTACATACTGTACTGTACTTAGACATGAAACTAATATTACTCATATTATCCAAAAAACAGAATACAATAATCACAGCACCCAAAATAAAACATGAAACACATGTTATAAACTTATTAAACATTATACTCATTAATAATAAGAAAATTAAACTAATAACGGAAACTAAACTAAATCCATTTCACAAAGTCGAACTCTGTGTTGAACCCAAATAAAGCAATCTTGCATAACCCTATATCCACAAATTTCCTAAAAGATAAAAAAATAAAACTCCATTTTTAAGAGGATGTCATCTGCCCCTCCTGCCCCCCCCCCCCCATCCTCTAGAATCTAGATCAACTATTAGTCTATAGACATACAGACATGCGTCCTGCCCACCTTCCATCCTAAAAATCTGCTATTAGTCTACAGATAAACAAACAGACATGTATTCTCATCTGTAGTCTGCTTCAGTGTACAGAATTTTTTTTAAATCTGTGACATGTTTAAGGTTTACTTGGTTAAAGGGAGTTTTAGTGTGAATAGAAATTTCTGTGATATGGACGGTGAAAGGGGTTAAGACAGTGTTATCTCGGAAGATATACATACAATTACGCTTCAGGACCCCAGTGCCCAGTAAGGTTGTGGTCACACACACACACACACACACACACACACACACACACACGGACGCACACACACACACACACACACACACACACACACACACACACACACACACACACACACACACAGTATAAAAAAACCCTGTAAAGCACAAGATAAGGCCAAAATATAACATCGATGAAGTGGTTCGGTTGAGGGAGCGACAAGATAACCTCACTTAATGATTTACCTTTCAGCTAAAGTACAGTGACCTTCCCTCATCCTCTCTGACGTGTTTCCTGGCGTAATCTGCCCCCCCTCTCCCTCCTCACACCTGTGATATATAACACAATCGACCTTTCTCTGCTCTTCATGATCGAACTCCAGCCGGATCTCCCTCAAGTATTATGACTGCCTTTATCGCTGTCATAAATACGTGTGTCACTGTGTCAGCAACCTGCCTACCCTTCCTCTCCCTCCCTCCCTCCTTCCACCCTCACAGTAAACTCTGTCTCATATCTATCTATCTATCTATCTATCTATCTATCTATCTATCTATCTATCAATCTATCTATCTATCTGTTGGAATGAGTTGCGTCTTGAAAATTTCCCGGGAGTAATGGAGACAGAAAAGTTTGAAAAGGCGTGTATAGTATAAGACAAATTTACAAGATCTGGGAAACTATGTTCTTCAGTAGTAAACAAACTTGATGTCCGAGTCGCGATGTTTGTTTTGAATGTGTGACACCAGGGACAACACAGTAACAAAATCACCGTTGACATAGAACGATGGGTTTGGCATAGAGTAGAAGGACTGGCGCGGGACTGCAGAATATAGAGAATATCTGTATCAAGAATCGCGGTCCCCGGAAAGAATAGAGTCAAGAATTGTTCTCTTGTTTACTCCTCCTACTGAGAAGACATACTGTAAAATATGTTATAGTTCTTCATTCTTTCCTCCAGCTGAAAAGTATTATAGCTGAGTGTTATTCTTTTGTTTGTATCACCATTATATTGACTATTGTTGGAAAATATCGATTTTGAAGAAACGAACAAAGCTTTATTAGTAGTAGTATTAGTATTAGCAGTAGCAGTAGTAGTAGTATTAGTTAATGCATATTGTATTATTAGTAGTAGACATAGTAGTAGTAGTATCAATAGTAGTAGTAGTAGTAGTAGTAGTATCAGATGTCAGTGACAGACATCCTGTGAAATGGCAGTCGTGGCCCGTATTGACCAAGTGTCCTGAGGTCATAATTGCCCTCCATCTCACCACATACCTGTACATTGGAGATCCGAGTCACTCATGTATTTGTCTCCTCATCCTCCCTTAATAGTTACTCCTGTTACTCGAAGTGTGGACCATTATGTTGGGTAACTGTCTTTGCATCTGTGCGAGCCGGAAGCAAAACTGCACAAACTGTGAATGTGTGAGAAACAACCGCCGTTGTGTGGGATGCAGGAAGGGGAAACAACTGTCAGAATCCCCCAGGGCAGGGATCTGTCACAGTGGATATCGCCTGGACAACACCGCGAGACGATATCCTGAATGATAACAGTGACACCACTCAGTTTGAAAATGTAGTGCCAAGAAATGCTGCTCCAACATTAGCAGATGTACACGAGGTTAATAACAGACAGCCACCACATTAGAAAGGCATGTGGAGGGAAGATGAAGAGAAGTGGGTCAAAGAAACCTACTCAGAAGTTGTCAGGTGGTCTCCAATTAACCTCTTTGAACCACCAAAGAAATGATCCGGCAGATGACTCGCTTCATACAAAATTACACTCATGACAATTCCCTGGCCCCAATAGCTCTCCACATACTGGCAATAATACCTCATCAATTCTGCCAGAGAACACAGGCAAGGAGTAAGAGTAAAGAAAATGTAGCTGCAATGAAGAGAAAACAAACAATGTGGAAGAACAGGGCTATTGATGATCTAAGTGAGACAAGAACACTGCAACACAGACTGAAATGTACAGGAGATGGAAGCAAACAACTGAGGATGCTGCCAGAAAGTTTGGTAACACGATGCATATGGGAAAAGTGTCCTTGGTGGTAAGATCTCTCACAGAGGAATCTTCCGCTGGTGTTCTGCCAATAGACAGAGAGACCTTACAACAACTGAAGGAAAAACATCCCCCAGCAAGTGCAGAGGAAGGCATCAAGGTTCCAGCGTGACTATGTCCCCCTGTCATGCTCGATAAAATAACAGAGGGATGGTGTGGAAAAAAACACTGAAGACACATGGAGGGGCAGGCCCTTCAGCTGGATGCAGACGGTTGGAGAGTCATCCTCATCACTAACAAGTTTGGTGAAGCTACAAGTGATTTCTGCAATGCCACCGCCGCCCTTGCAAGAAAGCTAGCAACCTCATGTTGCCATCACCTACAAACTCTGACGGCCTGCCGCCTCATCTCCTTGGAAAAAAATCCAGGATGTAGGCCTATAGGGGTGGGAGAAGTGCTGAAACGGATCATTGGAAAATGCATAATGGAGGTGGTCATTGATGATGTCAGGGCAGCTTCAGGGAACCTGCAAGTATGTACTGGCTACAAGGCTGGGGGTGAAGCTGCCATTCACGCCATGAGACAGATATTTGAGCAGTGTGATTGTGAGGCAGTACTCCTGGTTTACACTTCCAATGCATTCAACATAATCAACCGCAAGGCTACACTACACAACATTAAGATCAAGTGTCCAAGCTTTGCAATGTATGTTAAAAACACCTATAGGAACCAGACAAACCTCTATATAACAAGCTTCAAGGCTCTATGGGGAGATACCACCATACAGTCAACTGAGGGAACTACGCAGGGGGATCCGGTCGCCATGACAATGCACGTAATATATCTATCCGTGCTACAACACTCAATAAACTATGAAACAACCGAGGTCAAGTAAGTGGCATACGCTGATGACCTTACAGGAGCAGGAAAAGCGGAGGACATAAAAAAGTGGTGGGACCTGGTAACATCACGTGGTCCACAAATAGAGTACCACCCAAATGCCAGCAAGTTCTTCTTCATTATGAAGCCAGAATTACATGATCAGGAAATAGACGTGTTCTGCGGAAGTGAGGCCAAAATAACAAAGGACGACCAAAGACTTCTAGGTTGCGGTAATAGGCACGAACGATTTCAAGACCACATATGTAGTGGTAAAGGAAAATGAGTGGGTGAAAGAAATTCAAACTTTGTCGGAGATCGCTAAAACTGAGCCACATGCAGCTTTTACGGCATTCACTCATGGAGTCAAGCATCGCTGGAATTACCTGATACGCACTATCCCTGATATCAGCCCCCTCCTCCACGTTCTGGAAGAAGCCATCAAGGTCTCTTTTATCCCAACACTAGTGAAAAACCCTATTTAACCCCAGCAGAAAGGTCATCACTCCTTGCACTACCACCGAGACGGGAAAAATGGGTTTGACTAATCCAGAGGAACTTGCTGCCACCGAATATCAGAACATAGTCAAGCTCACGGCAGCCCTCACTGAGCACATAACAGCTCAGAACGCAGCAAATCGGGTGGATACCAATGAACTAAACAAGAATCGACGATCCATTACAACAGAACGGCAGTACAGCCAAAGTGAAAAAATAGCTATAGCACAGGAGGTGGGCACCTCGAACTGGTTAACAACGTTACCGATAAAGGCAAAAGGTTTCAGCCTTAATAAACAAGAATTTACAGATGCCATTGCTCTAAGGCAGGGGTCACCAAACTACGGCCCGCGGGCCGGATCCGGCCCGCGACGTCAGTTCATCAGGCCCGCCGACGTCAGTGAAACGTCAGTTTCACAAATCTCACTAACCTTTTTTGCTGCTTAGTTTGTGAGATTCGGATATGAGCACACTAGGTCTGATGGAACTATCTTTTTGCTAACGTCGCCTTCTTTGATAACTTTTTAGTAAATAAATATGTTGGTTGTCTTTGTTTTTAGTGCATTGCACGCCACTCACCCATGATTAACATGGAATGCTAAACTTAGTTTTTCGTCTTTTTTCCCAGAGCTTTCGTTCTGGCTTGCAAGTATTGAACAGAATGATTATGCGGCCCGAGCTCGTCATTCTTTCAGTTATCCGGCCCACTGTGAAAAAAGTTTGGTGACCCCTGCTCTAAGGTATTGTTGGCCAGTAGAAGGTTTGACCTACCAATGCATGTGTGGCTCATCCTACGACATCGACCACGCCATGGTGTGCAAGAAAGGAGCCTTCGTATGCATGAGGCATGACGAAGTAAGGGACCTCACAGCAAATAAGTTGAATGAAATCTGACATGATGTCAGGGTGGAACAGACCCTCGTTCCGTTGAACGGTAAGAAACTCCATCATAGGACTTCAAACACACCCAACGCAGCTCGTGTGGACGTCAGTACTCGAGGATTCTGAATGCAGGGACAGCGAGCCTTCTTTGACAAAAGGATTTTCGATCCCATGGCCGCATGTCACCGTAACCGAGCTCTTGACGCTGCACATAGGAGGAACGAGAATGACAAGATGAAGGCATATGGGGAGAGAATTCTGAATGTTGATCAGGGCAGCTTCACTCCTCTGGTGTTCGCAACGTCTGGTGGGATGGGACCAAGTGCAAGATGTTTCTAGGCCAGACTTGCGGAGGTGTTATCTGAACGGAAGCAGCAGCCCAGAAGCTACGTTACAGCCTGGTTGAGATGTCGACTGTCCTTCTCTTTCCTTAGGTCTGCATTGCTTTGCCTTAGGGGAACGAGATCTTCGGCCCCAAAGCCGACGACGGTCGCAGATATTGACAATGAGGCAACAGTCACTGAATGCCGCAAAGATCTGCAGCTCTACTAACTCAACACAGCTAAGGTAGCTACTTTTGTATTAGGATATTTAATTTTAAGGTAATAAAATGGTGGTGAAGGTGTGACTTTTGGGGGGAGGATGGAGGCCACTATAAAAATAAATAAAAACGAGTAGTACTGTAGTAGTATTCATTGTAGTTATTTTTTTTTAGTATTATTTCTACGGTTACAATTCTTGTCATTATGTTATTATTACCGTTCTCACTAATATAATCATTTTAATAAAACTTGCTTCAATTAGCTTCTGACCTTTAAAAATATTTAAATATAAATACATTTGTAACAGTAAACATGTACAGTAAACATGATGGACGCATTTTTCTTTCCTCTCTCTTCATCTACAAGGGTGAGTCTTTACTGTGTTGTGGTCCACACCCTGTACAGCCACTCAAAAAACTATCTACACAAAATTGTGTTAACAAATATGACAAAACAGAAGAATTTGGGCAACCCTATCAAGACAACAGGAGTCGTAGTGTTCATTCTCAAATTCATTGACCGCCGCCCCCCCACACTCCCAAGTAGAAATACAGGGTGAGCAAAAAGTCTTTCCCTGATTATGAAAAATCATATCTCGAAGACCATTCTAGATAGAAACATGAATATTGTAGCATTGTGTAGACGAATTCATAGATTTTTTTTTCATGCATATTTTACAGACAGTTCTTGAACGCAACCTTTCCAAACCGATGGATTGGGAGAGATGGTCCAACACCATGGCCGCCACGTTCACCAGACATTACCCCTCTTGATTTCTTTTTATGGGGGTATACGAAGGACAAAGTGTACAGTTCACCAGTTCCTGATCTTGAAACTCTGAAGGCAAGGATAACGGAGGCAATAGCGACGGTGACTGAAGAGATGCTGCAGAAAACATGGCGTGAAATCGAGCATCGCTTAGATGTGCTCCGGGCAACAAGCGGAGCACATTTTGAAGTTCACGAGTAACGAAAAAAAACTTCTTGAGATAAGGTATACAGTAAGCTGCAAAAAACTGTATGTTTGTACCTAGCATATGTTTTGTGTAATAAATGTTTGTAATCAGGGAAAGACTTAAACTTACCCTGTAGTTTTTTTCAGTGACTGTACTTAAGCTGGTCCACGGTACAAACTCCCAATGGTTCATGTGGTGAATATTCCTCATAACTGACAATACTAAAATGATCGGTTGACTGACTTAAGGTATACCCCTAATATAACGACTGATAACAGTATTAAAGTAGGTAATGCTGTCTTAATTTTAACTAAATAAATTCATTTACCACCAGTTATATCTTTCCAGAAATTATGTGTTAATTTTCTTTCCAATTTTGTGTTAAATGAAGTCTCTGAATAATTATAAAAACAAATTTAAGTTATGTTTCACAAATTAGCTAAATTCAACCAATGCATTCTTACATCCTCAGTTAGTAGGGATATTTAATTTATGAACCTTTGCAATTCTGGACTCTAATCTCTCATAAAGGTTATGTTAATTGTGTTTATTAAATATTTATTCTATTTTTCTAGTCAAGAGTATGAGAATAACGTCAGCACAAGGTCAGAGTACGAGAATAACGTCAGCACAAGGTCAGAGTACGAGAATAACGTCAGCACAAGGTCAGAGTACGAGAATAACGTCAGCACAAGGTCAGAGTACGAGAATAACGCCAGCACAAGGTTAGAGTACGAGATTAACGTCAGCACAAGTTCAGAGTACGAGAATAACGTCAGCACAAGTTCAGAGTATGAGAATAACGTCAGCACAAGTTCAGAGTATGAGAATAACGTCAGCACAAGGTCAGAGTATGAGAATAAAGTCAGCACAAGGTTAGAGTATCAGAATAACGCCAGCACAAGGTTAGAGTACGAGATTAACGTCAGCACAAGTTCAGAGTACGAGAATAACGTCAGCACAAGTTCAGAGTATGAGAATAACGTCAGCACAAGTTCAGAGTATGAGAATAACGTCAGCACAAGGTCAGAGTACGAGAATAAAGTCAGCACAAGGAGAGTATCAGAATAACGTCAGCACAAGGTTAGAGAGAATAACGTCAGCACAAGGTCAGAGTACGAGAATAAAGTCAGCACAAGGTTAGAGTATCACGAATAACGTCAGCACAAGGTCAGAGTACGAGAATAAAGTCAGCACGAGAGTATAAAGTCAGCATCAAGGAATTAGAGTATCAGAATAACGCCAGCACAGGTTAGAGTACGAGATTAACGTCAGCACAAGGTCAGAGTACGAGAATAAAGTCAGCACAAGGTTAGAGTATGAGAATAACGCCAGCACAAGGTTAGAGTACGAGATTAACGTCAGCACAAGGTCAGAGTACGAGAATAAAGTCAGCACAAGGTTAGAGTATGAGAATAACGCCAGCACAAGGTTAGAGTACGAGATTAACGTCAGCACAAGGTCAGAGTACGAGAATAAAGTCAGCACAAGGTTAGAGTATCAGAATAACGCCAGCACAAGTTCAGAGTATGAGATTAACGTCAGCACAAGTTCAGAGTATGAGAATAACGTCAGGACAAGTTCAGAGTACGAGAATAACGTCAGCACAAGGTCAGAGTACGAGAATAACGTCAGCACAAGTTCAGAGTATGAGAATAACATCAGCACAAATTCAGAGTATGAGTCAGGTCAGAGTACAAGGTCAAGTCAGTACGAAAATAACGTCAGCACAAGTTCAGAGTACGAGAATAACGTCAGCACATGTTCAGAGTACGAGAATAACGTCAGCACAAGGTCAGAGTACAAGAATAACGTCAGCACAAGGTCAGAGTACGAAAATAACGTCAGCACAAGGTCAGAGTACGAAAATAACGTCAGCACAAGGTCAGAGTACGAGAATAACGTCAGCACAAGTTCAGAGTACGAGAATAACGTCAGCACAAGTTCAGAGTATGAGAATAACGTCAGCACAAGTTCAGAGTATGAGAATTAACGTCAGCACAAGGTCAGAGTACAAGAATAACGTCAGCACAAGGTCAGAGTACAAGAATAACGTCAGCACAAGTTCAGAGTACGAGAATAACGTCAGCACAAGTTCAGAGTATGAGATTAACGTCAGCACAAGTTCAGAGTATGAGAATAACATCAGCGCAAGGTTAGAGTACGAGAATAACGTCAGCACAAGGTCAGAGTACGAAAATAACGTCAGCACAAGGTCAGAGTACGAAAATAACGTCAGCACAAGGTCAGAGTACGAAAATAACGTCAGCACAAGGTCAGAGTACGAAAATAACGTCAGCACAAGGTTAGAGTACGAGAATAACGTCAGCACAAGTTCAGAGTACGAGAATAACGTCAGCACATGTTCAGAGTATGAGAATAACGTCAGCACATGTTCAGAGTACGAGAATAACGTCAGCACATGTTCAGAGTACGATGTTACGCTGGTTAATTCCCCAGTTAACCAGGTTGGTACACATATAATATAATTGGGCTTTTGGTAACGAAACCCAATTGAAGTTTCTTGTTTTATTATAAAAGTATTATGTTTATAATTCCTGAGTGTATGTGAACCGTAAGTTCCACTATTTATGAGTGAATGAGAAAGAGGACGGCGTTTATGTAATATAAACGTGGATCAACGTCCGTTCGATATTAGTTGGTGTGAGTGACTGCTGAGTAGTGACCCATCGAGGGAGGACGAGCCATCCACTGCGGCCCTCAAATAACGTCTTCCTCTAGTCAAGGATATCAAACTACTGCTCACTTTAGGTGGCCAGAGAGCCGGCTACTTATGCCTTTACTCAGCATAGTATGACGCAGCTTCCCGTGGGCACACCTTATCATGTGCATTGAACATGTCACCTCATAGCCAGTGGAAAGTTACAGAGGATGAATCTGAATATAAATCAGATGTAAGTAACCCATTTATATAATACTTCTGTTGATGAGACAGGGGCCATTACAACGAGAGGCAAGAGGGGGGAGGCGAGGGGGAGACGAGAGGGGGACGAGAGGGGGAGGCGAGAGGAGGGGACGAGAGGGGCAGACGAGAGGGGGAGAGGGGAGGGGGGAGGCGAGAGGGGAGACGGGGGAGGAGAGGAGGCGAAGGGGGAGGGGGGAGGCGAGAGGGGGAGAGGGAGGGAGACGAGAGGGAGGAGGAGAGGGAGGGGAGGCGAGAGGGGGAGGCGAAGGGGGGAGGCGAGAGGGGGGAGGCGTGTGTTGTCCTCACTGCACTAACACACAGAGGCAGCAGCTAGGAGGCATTGAGACGCGAGGCTTTATATTAGTACCATAAACAAAACTGTGTAAGACCCTTAAGACTTGACTCTCCTTGACTCGAGTGTTTATATTGTGCCACAGTTGACCAGGTGGCATAGATACAGTATAGCCATAACTTCATCTTCATTATTTTTTTGCATATAACTGAAGTATAAGGTAACGTCATCTTCTCAACACACAGAGAGTAATGGGTTAGATTTATTTATCCTGCATAAAAATTACACTCGATATTTTGTAATGTTTTTAGTGAAAATTTTGCCTACTCTCTCTCTCTCTCTCTCTCTCTCTCTCTCTCTCTCTCTCTCTCTCTCTCAGGGTACCTCCTCTTTACCAGCATACCTGACAATAACACGCTATCTACCAGAATGTGTGTAGGTATGGCTTTGTGATGTGTCTGTTTACATGAGTGAGTGTGTAGGTGTACTTGTTTCAACGAGAGAGAGAGAGAGAGAGAGAGAGAGAGAGAGAGAGAGAGAGAGAGAGAGATAATATCGTATAGTAAGAATTAAAACTACAGTCAAGGTAACATGAATACTCCGTTTGTCTCACCTTTATGTTCCTTGAAAAGAACGATCTGGCGGATGTCACCAGGGACGCTGTTTCCTGTTGGTCGGGAGACAAGTGTGTACCTCCGAGCGACACACACACACACACACACACAGAGTCTCTGTATAAACAGACTAAGGTGATGTTCCTTATTACGTTCTATGGCAATGCTCTTAGCACAAGACAACCTCAAGACCAACAGACTCCGTCCTCCTTGTTACCAATGTTATTAACGATTATATGTGAAATGTAATATCATAATAGCATGTTGGGTCATGCTTTCAATCCTCCTATGTTAACCGTGAAAAATATTAAATTTTTGTCAACAGTTGATGTTTGTTAGAATGTATTAATAAACTTCAATAACTACTGTAATATCAGTAAACGCATATGTTAGGTCAGTAAATAGAGCCTGCTACTAATCGTCAACATTTAGGATGTTTAGTCTCTGCTGTGTCAGTCATGGAAGTCTGAAAGCTGAGGAGGGGAGAGGCGGTATGGTGTCACTCACTCTACTGTAACAGCACTGTTTTTATCCCGTCCAAGAGATGGTGACCCTCAAGACATAGTAAGGAGATACTCGGGCCTTAGGAGCGGCGGTTAGGCATCAATGGCAGTCCAGCACTGAATTTGGCTCGTGTATACATTCTTACTCTTTTGTAATCCTTAAGAAGCGTGCACGAGGGTAAAACAATCTCGTCTCCTGAGCCACAAGTTCCTGTGATCTCCTTCTCCATCAACTAGAGGATGATCGAACGATAAAGCGACTAATTATATCAGGTTAACACTGAGGTACCGTTTCTAAGCAACAAGCACTGATACCTTGATATCAACATGACCACTGAGACCAGCGGGTCAGAATAAAACTTAGCCGTCTTATTCTCATGTTGTCACGTTAATGTCAGCGTAGAGACCAATGGCATCACTGAGTGCAGGTCCGTTTTAGCGCGGTCTGGGGGTCATACTTCCAAAGAAAAATTTAGGTAAGAAGTTACCAGAAACTAAAATAAGATGTAAAGATTGCAGACCCTCAGGTCCATTAAACCAAGAAATTCTTTTGTAACGGACGTGATGAAGACAGTTTTCTCGGGAGGACTGAGGAGAGGGTTTGAGACTGGTTTATTTCCGATGCCACTCACAAACACACACCCCTTTGGACAGTACGGTGGACTATAGCATTAGACATACCTGAGGATGGTGCTGCTGCTCCATATCAGAGAATGAGTCAAGTGAAAAAGGTAAAAAAAAAATATTTTTTCTCCTTTCAAGAGATATAAATTAAGTCTGTTCATGAAATTTCAGATATGGAAAAGAGATCACCAGATGTAGAAAACATACTCACCTTAAATCCAAAATCATAGAAAAGTCAAGACACCTCCCCACACCTGTATCACCATAAGGTGACACCTACAGTGTAGGTGGACCAATCTAGCATTCGTCCACACTCTTGTTGTGCTCATTCATGAGAGAGAGAGAGAGAGAGAGAGAGAGAGAGAGAGTGTGTGTGTGTGTGTGTGTGTGTGTGTGCGCGCGCGGCATAGATAAGATGGTCGTTTATGCACTTGGATCCAGGCAGAAGTACAATCCGGTCCTGTCTGTGAGACTGAGCAGCCCCTTCGAGGAACCACTCTGCTCACCCAACATGGGGAAGTGACTAGAAAAGGTGCCCTAAACATAGTCTGCCTACAGAACCAACATAACTGGGAAACTGCACCCAGTAAGGTCATCCTTATGCAGTCGAAAACACAATCATAATCACAGATCAAAACTAAAACAAACTATACAACCTCTTATGGTCGCTGCATGGAATTTCGGGACCCTTCTGGATACTGGCACAAATGAGTGTCCTGAAAGAAGAACCGCCCTTGTGGCAAGAGACATAGTAGCCATTAGTAAGTCCCGGCTCCCAGACGAGGGTCGACTCAAAGAACGAAGGGGGGGGGGTGGGTCCGGCAATACCTTCTTCTGGAAGGGTAAGCCTGCTGCAGAGAGAAACTGCATATATGGAGTTGGCTTTGCCATCCGCCAATGCATCCTACATAAGCTAACAGGAATGCCTGTTGGGATGAACGAGTGCCTTATGCCGCTCCGAGTCCCACTGAATCACTCACGTCATTCCTTCTTCATCAGTGCATATGCCCCAACACTGGATGCAGAGGATGCCATCAAGGAGTCCTTTTACGTCGACCTTGACAGAGTGCTAATTATCCCCAGAGAAGATAAGACTGTGCTCCTAGATGACTTCACTCCCAGAGTTGGCAGAGATGATGACATTTGGCAGGGATTCATAAGGGGAAATGTACTAGGCAAGTGTATTCCCAACGGCCTACGCCTCCTCAGCAAGTGTGCTGCACACAACCTCACTATCACCAATACCCTGTTTCGGCAGGCCACCAACTTCAAGGGTTCGTGGCAACACCCACGATCCAAACACTGGCATCTCATTGACTACATCAGTGTCAGAGAAAGAGATCGCCGAGATATCCTCATCACCCGAGCAATGCGTGGCTCAGACCACTGCGACTCTTATCATCGGCTCATCAGAGCCAAGCTCTCACTTCACGTCGACCCAAAACGGCTAAGGGAACAAGCCTCCAGAAGAGGTTTTAACACTAAGCGTCGGCAGGATCCAGCGGTAGCACATGCTTTCAGAGAGCAGCTCGAACACGGACTGATAAACAACCCGACAACAAACAGCCCAAATCCCAGGGTCGATTGGGGTATTTTTGACACTGTCATGACAAAAACCTGCAGAGACCCTCGGCCAGATCGAAAGAATACACCAGGACTGGTTTAATGAAAATGACCAGGAAATCAATGTACTCGTCAATGATAAACGTGTTGCTTTAACTGACTGTTAGAAGAACCTTCAGTCTTGGACCAAAGCTGATACCTTCCTCAAGACTAAAGCGGCAGCCCAGCGCGAACTTCATAATCTAAAGAACGAATGGCTTAAAAATAAAGTATATGAAACGCAAAAGCTTGTACATCAACACAAGATGCGCGAATTTTTCAATTCCACTAAAAAAAATTTTGGGTCAAACACTCATGGCACAGCCCCCCTTCGCTCATCTGACGGTAACTCCCAAATTACGACAAAGAAGGCATCCTTCAACGCTGGAAAGAGCACTACCATTCGTTGCTCAACCGAAACACCGATGTGGATGTCCTGACTACCCAGCAGGTCCCTCAGCATCCAGAGCTGACCCATCTCAGCTATCCTCCATCCCTGGATGAGGTAGCTACTGCCAACTGTTACGAGTTGGGGATTTAGAATATAGTTAAAAGTCTACCCAGATCCCAACAGGTAACAACAATAAAAAAAACAAAGACAATCGGACTATAAAAGGGTAGACAAAGGATGCGAGTTTTCGTTGTGTATAATAAAGTACCATGAATTCCTTAACAAAATAATCAGCTTCCTATAAATTACCCTTAACCATACTTAACCTAAACATTAACAGTATATACATATTAATACAACATAAAACAATCGTGAAGCAAGGTGGAGGTGGGGGAGGCAATACAAGATTACAAATACTTAAGTGAGGAGCTGAGATGGCTGACGAGTAAGGCTGAGTATTGTAGAAGACGGTAGGTAGTCACTGTGCCGTAGGTTTAGAGGATAGGTGATCCTGTGGTCACTTCCCAGAGTGTAGTGCTCTCTCCTCGAATTGGAGCTCACAAAGAAGACTTGGAGGAAGTGACGCAACAACCAGGATATGAAAAATCCCAGCCGAGGTGGATAAAGCAGGAAGACCTCTACTGATCAGCCGTCTCCACTCTTTCCTGGAGAATAGATAGCAAAACGAGGAAATCCCCCAAGCTCTTAAAGATGCCTCCATTGTCAATATTTATAAGAACAAGGGAGACCAGTCAGACTCAAACAACTCCTGCGGGATTTCGCAACGAATCCTTCTAAACAGACTTCATCCTGTGGGGAAAACTTCCTCTCAGAATCTCAACGTGGCTTTAGACCATTACGTGGAACCACTGACATGATCTTTGCTGCCCACTAGATACAGGAAAATTGCAGAAAATAGCGTCGTGACCTGTACATGGCTTTCATCGACCCAGCCAAGGCCTTCGATTGAGTCAACAGGGAAGCCCTCTGGCAGACCCTCAGCTGTTTTGGTTAACCACCAAAATTCATCGCCATTGTGAGGCAACTCTACAATGGCATGAACGGCAGTGTCCTGCACAATGGCACCCAGTCTGAGTTCTTCCCCACCTAAACGGGGGTAAAACAAGGATGTGTACTAGCACCAACTCTCTTTTCCATTTTCTTGGCTGCCTTCCTTACTCGTCCCTGTGCCAATTGAGCTGACGGGGTGGACATCCAGTACCGGATGAAGGGTCTTTTCAACATAAGACGACTCAAGGCAGGAACAAAGGTGTCGGCAGCTTCCATTACTGAACTTTAGTATATAGACGACCTCACTCTAGTCGCTCACACTGAAACGCGACCTACAGGAGATCCTGAACACTTACACAGATGTGCATGCACACTTCGGCCTTGAGATGAACGAACGTAATACTCAGATTCTCTTTCAGCCTGCCCCTGATTTAGCCAACTTAACGGTACTACAATTTCTAATGTTACCCACTTTCAGTATCTCGGCTCCCACCTGTCCACCACTGCGGACATCGATGAAGAGATTTAATATCGGATCACATGTGCATCTCAGGCCTTTGGCAGACTCTGTACCCGTGTCTTCAGATGTAGGGAGTAGAAATTATCTACAAAGTTGCACGTATATCGAACAGTGGTCCTCACTACTCTGCTATAAGGCAGCGAGACATGGGTCACATAAAGGAGGCACCTCAAGGCACTTGAAAACTTTCACCAACGTAGTCTACATTTTATCCTTCGAGTTCGCTGGGAAGACAAGAGAACAAATGCCAGTATTCTTGCTGACACCAACTGTAGGAACATCGAGGCTACCATTATCCATGAGCAACTACGTTGGACTGGCCATGTTACCCGCATGGAGGACATTAACTGCCAAAGCAGTTACTTTACAGTCACCTAACGAATAGTAAACGAAACTCTGGCGGGCAACTGAAAAGCTATAAGGATAGTCTTCAGACATACCTAAAAAAGTGGCAAATCGACCCCCTCACCTGGGAGACGATTACTCCACACCGTAACCCTTGGAGGAGCACCATACGAGAAGGTGTCAATACTTTCGAGTTAGCCCGATTGCATACTGAGGCAGGCAAAGGCCAACGCCGGAAAGACGCTGTCGCCGCCCCTACCGCATTAGATGTAACCCCACAATTGTAACATCTGTGGACGACCATGCCAGTCCCATATCGGCCTCTTTAGTCACCTCAGAGCTCACCAACGAAGGTGACATCCTTAATAAATCATATCATTGTATCATAGCTGGATGATCATCATACTCGATACCGAGTGACAGCAAAGTAGTAGTAGTAGTAGTAGTAGTAGTATGACGAGGCATGACAAGGTAAGGGACCTCACAGCAAATATGTTGAAGGAAATCTGTCGTGATGTCATGGTAGAACCGACCCTCCTCCCACTGGATGGTGAGATCTTCCAACACAGGACTTCAAACACATCTAACGAAGCCCGTGTGGACGTCAGTGCTCGAGGAATCTGGATGCGGGGACAGCGAGCTTTCTTCGACATCAGGATTTTTGATCCCATGGCCGCATGTCACCGTAACCTAGCTCTCGATGCTGCACATAGGAGGAACGAGAACGACAAGAGAAGGGCATATGGGGAGAGAATTTAAAACGTTGATCAAGGCAGCTTCACTCCTCTAGTGTTCACAACCTCTGGTGGGATGGGACCAAGTGCAAGATGTTTCTACGCCAGACTCGCGGAGGTGATCTCCGAACAGAAACAGCAGCCCAGAAGTTATGTTACAGCCTGGATGAGATGTCGACTGTCTTTCTCTCTCCTTCGGTCGGTTTTACTCTGCCTCAGGGGAACGAGAGCTTCTGCCCCAACTCCGACAACTGCTGCAGATATTGACTATGAGGCTACTGTCACTGAATGCCGCATAGATCTGCGGCTCAACAAATTTAACACAGATAGGATAGCTACTTATGTATTAGGATATTTAATATTCAGGTAATTAAATGGTGGCGAAGGTGTGGCTATTGGGGGAGGCTGGAGGCCACTATCTTGTATAAAAAAAAAAAAAAAAAAAAAAAAAAAAAAGTAGTAGTAGTATGTGGCAGCAATGAAGAGAAGATTGACAATGTGGTAGAAAGGGGCCCTTGATGATCTCCTATGAGAAGCAAGAACACTGCAGGAGAGTCTATAATTCATAGGACACGGGGAGCAAAACACCGAGGATGTTGCCAGAAAGTTTGGAAACAAATTTCATGTGGGAAAAGTGTCTTTCAACCATGGAGTCAAGTATCGCTGGAATTACCTGATATGCACTATCCCCGATATCGGACCCCTCCTCCACCCTCTGGAAGAAGCCATCAAGGTCACTTTTATGCCAACACTAGTGAAAAACTCTATTTACCCCCAGCAGAAAGGTCACTCCTTGCACCAACACCGAGACTGGGAGGAATGGGTTTGACTAATCCAGAAGAGCTTGCTGCCACCGAGCATCAGAACTCTGTCAAGCTCTCGGCAGCCTTCACTGAGCACATAATAACTCAGAATGTAACAATGAGGTGGATACCAGCGAATTAAACAAGATTCGACGGTCCATTACAACAGATCGACAGCACACCCAAAGTGTTAAACTTCAGCAACTGATGCTGCAAGTGGCAGAGAACTTGAAAAAAGAGTAGCTGTAGCACAGAAGGTGGGCGCCTCGAACTGGGTAACAACGTTACCGATAAGTGCAAAAGGTTCCAGTTTTAATAAAAAGGAATTCACAGATGCCAATGCTCTAAGGTACGGTAGGCCAGTGGAAGGTTTGCCCTCCCAATGCATGTGTGGCTCTTCCTATGACATTAACCACTCCATGGTGTGCAAGAAAGGGGGCTTCGTATGCATGAGGCACGACGACGTAAGGGATCTCACAGCAAATATGTTGAAGGAAATCTGTCATGATGTCAGGGTAGAACCGACCCTCCTTCCAGTGGACGGTGAGAATTTCCATCAATGACTTCAAACACATCCAACGAAGTCAGTGCTCGAGGATTTTGAACGCGGGACAGCGAGCCTTCTTTGACATAAGGATTTTCGATACCATGGCCGTAGCCGAGCTCTCGACGCTGCACAGAGGAGGAACGAGAATGACAAGATCAGGGCATATGGGGAGAGAATTCTGAACGTTGATCAAGGCAGCTTTACTCCTTTACGGCGGCGGCGACGACGGCGGCGGCGACGGGGACGACGGCGGCGGCGACGGGGACGACGGCGGCGGCGACGGGGACGACGGCGGCGGCGACGGCGGCAGGGACGGCGACGGGGACGGCGACGGGGACGGCGGGGACGACGGCGGCGGCGACGGGGGCGACGGCGGCGGCAGGGACGGCGACGGGGGACGACGTGGGGACGACGCGGCGGGGACGATGGCGGCGGCGACGGGGCGGCAGCGACGACGGTGGTGGGGACGGCGGCGGTGACGGCGGGGGACGGCGGGGACGACGGCGGCGGCGACGGGGACGGCGACGGCGACGGCGGGGACGACGGTGGGGACGGCGGGGACGACGGCGGCGGCGACGGGGACGACGGCGGGGACGGCGGGGGACGGCGATGGGACGGTGACGGGACGGCGGGGGATGACGGCGGCGGCGGCGGGACGACGGCGGCGGCCGGGACATTGAGGCCAGTATGCCACGAGGCCACCATGACACGAGGCCACCATGCCACGAGGCCACCATGACACACGAGGCCACCATGACAGGGCTACCATGACACGAGGCCACCATGCACGAGGCCATGAGACGAGGGCCACCATGACACGAGGCCACCATGACACGAGGCCACCATGACACGACCATGGCCACCGAGGCCACCATGACACGAGGCCACCTGGCGACACGAGGCCACCACTACAATGAGGCCACCATGACACGAGGCCGCCATGACACGAGGCCACCAGACATGAGGCCACCATGACACGAGGCCACCATGACATGAGGCCACCATGAGACGAAGCCACCACTACACGAGGCCACACCATGACACGAGGCCGCTATGACACGAGGCCACCATGACACGAGGCCACCATGACACGAGGCCACCATGGCCACGAGCCACCACTACACGAGGCCTGGCACACGAGGCCGCCACGACACGAGGCCACCACTACACGGGCCACCACTACACGAGGCCACCATGACACGAGGCCACCATGAGACGATACCACTACACGATGACACACTGACACGAGGCCAAATGACACGAGGCCACCACTACACGAGGCCACCATGACACGAGGCCGCCACGACACGAGGCCACCACTACACGAGGCCACCATGACACGAGGCCACTATGACACGAGGCCACCACTACACGAGGCCACCATGACACGAGGCCACCATGACACGAGGCCACGAGACACGAGGCCGCCACGACACGAGGTCACCATGACACGAGGCCGCCATGACACGAGGCCACCATGACACGAGGCCACCACTACACGAGGCCACCATGACACGAGGCCACCATGACACACCACCATGACACGAGGCCGCCACGACACGAGGTCACCATGACACGAGGCCGCCATGACACGAGGCCACCATGACACGAGGTCACCTGACACGAGGCCACCATGACACGAGGCCACCACACACGAGGCCACCATGACACGAGGCCACCACGACACGAGGCCACCAGACACGAGGCCGCCACGACACGAGGTCACCATGACACGAGGCCGCCCACGAGAGGCCACCACTACACGAGGCCACCACTACGAGGCCACCATGACACGAGGCCACCATGAGACGAGGCCACCACTACACGAGGCAGACCATGACACGAGACACGAGGCCACCGGAGGCCACATGACACGAGGCAGGACACGAGGCCACCATGACACGAGGCCACCGAGGCTACACGAGGCCACCACTACACGAGGCCACCATGACACGAGGCCACCATGAGACGAGGCCACCACTACACGAGGCCACCATGACACGAGGTCACCATGACACGAGGTCACCATGACACGAGGCCACCATGACACGAGGCCACTATGACACGAGGTCACCAGACACGAGGTCACTCATGACACGAGGTCACCATGACACGAGGCCACTCATGACACGAGGCCACCATGACATGAGGCCACCATGACGAGGCGAGACACCATGCCACTATGACACGAGGTCACCATGACACGAGGTCGAGAGGCACCAGAGGCCCACCATGACACGAGGCCACCATGACACGAGGCCACCATGAGACGAGGCCACCATGAGACGAGGCCACCATGACACGAGGTCACCATGACACGAGGCCACCATGACACGAGGCCACCATGACACGAGGCCACCATGAGACGAGGCCACCATGAGACGAGGTTACCATGACAAGATATACACACACCATCACATTAATACGTTAGTAATTGACTGTCAACTCTGTAATATTAATTATGACAAGGATCCTCAATCAGCACCTGGTGGGCTTGACTCAACTTGTGCAGCTGAGGCTTACCTGAGACCCTTGCCATGGTTGAGGCTCAGTGCTGCGGCTTCCCCGAGGCTTCTGCTGTTGATTAGGTTTACCTCCACCCTCCACCCCGATTGTTCCTCCTGTTTATTTTGTTTGGGTACTGTAACGCCGTATTCACTTTAGGAGGCGGCATCGCTTCGGGAAGGGATGGTACCCACCGCCTATCCTCGATCCTCAGACCATATGTCTCATTCCCAAACGATGTTTTTAAGCTTTTGGAAGAGGCTCACTTCCTCAGGCTTGTATAACAGTTATTTTTATAATCCTTTGGGTAAATATTTTCTTTGTGGATTTGTTACCTCATCATTAAATAGAAGCCCCCATTAAGATGGTCCCTAGACTGGAAAATTCGACCAGCAAGTGTTTTACAGTCAAGAGGAACAGGTAATCGACACAAACTGGCTGGGGCTCTTGGGCCATCAAATGGCCATGAGTCAGAATTGGAGTGGCAAATGAGAAGCCTGGCCAGGGCTGTCTGCGATCTCCGTGCCATTTGGGGAAACATCCAGAGGCGTTTCTCTGTTATAATCTGCCAGAGTTTGTTTGGGCCAACAATGGTATCCCAACAACACTGCCAGGGATTACAGACGAGTGGGTGGATATATATTCCAGTATGGGAGTGAGTGGCGTACAAGGGGCTGGATGGGACACAACGGCCCTGGTCACCTGGTCAGCCCTCTTATTGCCCGACACACTCCTACTGTATGTGTGTCAGTACCCAGCACAAACTGACCTGACGGCTACTTCCCCTTATATGGAAGAGTCATTCCAGTACCTGAAGACCCAGAGGATGGAATGAGTTAAATAGACTACAGTTAGAAGTGCGCTCCGTGAGTCACTAAAAATGGTGAAGCTGCTGTTCTCCAGGGTGATAGCCACCCCCAACGCCTGAAGAATCACTATAATAGCACCTCAGCATTAAAAATTTATGAAGCAGTCAGTAGCAAACCACTTCAAGAAAAGGCAGGAAAGATTACTCCAAGTACAGTACAGTATGTTGCCAGAACCAGACTTAGAGTCAGACTTGATAAGGCTCACTTGTAAGAGACTAAGAGACTTCTTGTATTGAGGCTTACCTTATGTACGTTTCAAGTACTCCAGTATAAGATAAATGTTTTATCCAACCAACCACAATCTTACCCAACCAAACACGACCTTACTCAACCAATCACAGACTTATCCAACCAGATATGAAACCCACTGTTCTGCAACACAGTATCGCTGCATTGGATGAAGTCAATTTTGTAATTATTCTGAACATCATATACAGTGTTGATGAGATACAGTTCGGACACATGGCAGCCTCTTGATAGCTGAAATGGAAGGGAAAACATGGTTCTAAGCATTGTTACCAGGGGGACAATATCCTCCACTTCAAAAAAAAATAAAAATCCTAATACTGCCACAAGGAACACTATCACGGTGCAAGATGTGCTCTCGAGGCACAACGTGCACCAAATATGAATTGAGTTGGTGGAGGTGTCCTTCTGGTATCAGACAGTAAATGATTCCAGTAAATGTGCAAATCTTTCCGGTTAATCAAGTAAATTTTTTTTTGGGATTACAAACTCAGAACACAATGATCCTCACTGCGTGGGACCCAGGAGCAGTCCTGAAAAAAAAATTAAAACGAATAATTCGGAACAATGTTAAAATATCGCCTAGAAACTACGATACGATTCCCAGTAATGGAGAAAATTTGATTTAGAAACACCCGCCAGAGGGTTATATCACCTCAGAGCTGCAGGAAACAGCTCAAGATACTAGTCTTAAGTGTTTCAATGCGTGAGGAGGTATGTGAGGTGCTACCCAGAGACCAATGACTGACAAACTGATAAAAAAAATATAAAACTACTTATAACTGAAGACTACAGAGTTACACCAGTCCATTAAGACCAGAAGTTGTTGCTGAGCAGCTTCTACAACGTGGGGGCCATCAGCGAGACACTCTGTCGGACGAATACATGGATGATGAACAAGCCAGTAACAAAACATCCCACGATATCATGCAGGGCACAGAGAGTAGTAATAAATAAGTAAAAAAAAAAATGGAAAACACTCAAGACGATCACGCATCACCTGGCTAGAAATATTAGTCTAAAGTGTACGGACTGACTGTTGATATTGTTGTAAAAATTAGATCTTTTTCTCATACACAACGTTTATATTGTTTTTAAGCCACGTTACCGATGAGACAAACTTTGACTAATTTACTGTAGTTATCGGATGGCCTTAGGTGTGTCCAGCCCACTGAGGAAACTTTTATAGTGGATACTGACCAAGTGGGATTGTTGTTGATATAACCTCATTGTGTACTGTGTTTATGTGTATTTATCCTCTATGTGTGTATTTCTAACAAATCTAAAATTATCAGCAGAATTACGCCAAAATTGTCTAAGAAAATTTGATAGGATTATTATACGTGTGTGCCTGTTTGGGTCACCTGAGTAGATTAAAACATAATAATAATTTCTTCTCCAAAAGAGGAATATGGAGCATGAACGTAATCCGGGTATTTTTTTTTTTTATTATTATTATTACCTCCCGCTTGAGTTCATCGACCCTAAAATGGATGTAGGAATAGGTATACCTGCAGGTCCGTTAGCTCGTCTCTTAACTGTCAGTATGTTAATCCGACCTGAACAAGAATACAAGAATTTTCGCCAATTGCCAGTTTTAAGACGAGCGGATTTCTCAAGATTTCATGAACGAAATGTCAAAATCATGGTTGTTTTTTATAGAGCGGATGATGTCTAAAATATCTCATTGCACAGTGGTAAGATTTTTTTACGGTTTACCCAACAGAAAATTTACACCAAACTAACGTAACATGTCGCTCCTAGCCTAACCTAACCAAATCTAATCTAACTGCTTATGTGTCAATTGTCTATTTTTGTAAACCTAACCTAACCTAACTGTTAATTTGTGTCAATTGTCTATTTTTTTTAAACTTAACCTAACCTAACCTAACCTGGGAAAAGCTTACTGTACATAAAATCACTCATCCGTAAACTTAACAAATCCGAATTTTCTCGGTGATGGTTGAACAGGTTACGCATCCGGGGTATACTGTTTATATTGGAATTTTGGCAGCTCCAAAATAGTGGATACAGAAACCAAAAGGGACCCCAGTGTGTACACAATACAGTATATACACTGTAAACCACTTACGGTCCCCCACCGCGAGCCAGCTGCCCTGCACACCACCTCCAACACCAGCACCATCTGGGTCACTGACACCAACTGTTCATTAACCAAACATGGGTTATTACCACCAGCTGGAGCTCATTTAGTACCAACGCTTGTCATTCTGCGTTCGTCAACTGCATACTCA